TAAATACCTAAAATAGAATACAATCGAAACTATTTCTCATGTTTTTTATTTTTCTAGTATTTTATTTTTCATACAATATCATTTTTAACTGTATAAAATCTTGGTGTTGTTTTATCATCTTTTAAATAATGATGAATATTTCTTGCACGTAAAACACCACGTTGTTTAAATAACCAATCAGTTAATGCCATAGCTAATTCTTGATTACCTGATTTATCATATCTAAATTAGAATATGATTCATTTTTTTTTTAATAAATAAATCAAAAACACAAAAAGATTTTACTTCTTTCCATTATTTGCTTGTACTGAACTTTGAAAAAAATCATTACTAAAAAAATCCACTGAACCAACAAAACCAACACGAGCATTATTACGAGCTTGAAGAACAGATATTAATAATGTTCGTTTACCAACTGTAGCTGGATACTAATCAAAAATAATAATGATTTAATTTAAAAAATTGAAAATATTATTCATTCTTTACTTCAGATAATGTCTTTTCATCAGGATTAGCTGTATATGATGTTGATGAAGCAGTTAAAACATCTATTAATAATGGATTATCTGGATCTGATGACATTCTTTAATATGAAAAAATTACAGTGAAAGACGAAAAAGAACAAAAACTACTTAGAGCGTAGTAAAAGTAGTAACGGAGATATTTTATGTCTATATGGTAGAGATCTGTATAAGAGTTATTTTTAGGAGTGGTCAGAACTCTCTAAGTTGCCTACTAGTAAATTAGATTGAACGCTGCAAGATTTATTTTAATGGTAATTTTTATTTGTTGGATATTCATTGTACAAACTGATATATTTTGGAGGCTCAATTCATATTGTCTCAGGGCTTTAGAAAAGTGAAATCGAAGTTGACTTCGAGTTCTTCTCAAGGGTATATGCGGTGAAGAGACACAAATTGAATTCTGAAAACATATCTTTTCGTTCAGTGCATACCAAAGAATGAAACTTACAATCCAAAAAATATTTTATATTAAATCTGATTTATTATCGAGACATTTAGTTGACTTTGATGCAAGTCTCTCCTATATGATCTGATAGTAAAAAACACCGCTATAAATTTCTGTGATATGTAATCATTTTTCAATTAATATTATAATAATAAAAAATTTCGATAAGAGTTGTTTATTATGATATGTAACGGTAATATTAGATCAAATTTTGTCTTCTATATGTATCTTCTTCTTTAATGCCTAGTTGCTTATACATATTACTTTATACAAAAAGTGATGATGATGATAGAACAAAAACGAAATACAGAAACAAACTCATTAGGTCTTTATTTCATCAACTGTTCGAAATAATCGTCCTGGTTATTGAGACACTCAATTTCATTCGTTGAATCCATTTATCGGAGATTTTTTTAAACGCTTCTTGATTTATAAAGAATTTATGAACGTGTTCACAGTACGATGCAATGATTTAGAATCGTTTCGATCATTTAGATTTTGTTAGATTAAGTCGAATAACAAAAAAAAAATCACATTTACTCAAGAAGTCGATGAACTTGTTTCTGTACTTATTTTTTGTTGTACCATCACCACTTTTTGTATAACCTAATATATATGGACGGCTAGGCACAATGATACAGAACCTATTTCCTCTACAATAAAAAATAAAAGAAAAGCTAGATTCTTTTTCACTTGTATGTTCGAAGAGAAAGACGTATCGATTTACTTAGCAGACAAAAACTAATCTTTATTAATCATCAAGTAATAGGACAAATTTTCATTTAATAAAAATAATGGATGTGTACTTAAATAAAATCAGAAAGTATTTCAATACTTTCTTATCAATAAATAAATCACAGAAGTTGTATACAAACTTTGCGCTCTTATTACTACAAAAAAAAAAAGATTCTTTATTCGAATTCCGAAATGAAAAGAAATTTTCCTGCAGCGAACCATATTTCCAAACTTGAAAGATTTTTCTAACGCTTGACCATTACATATCAAAATAAATAGCTCTAATCAAAATTTTATTAGTATACTTTTAGTTGAAGAAGGATCAAATATCAAAGAAATGTAAAGCATGGTTTTTTTTATAGGAAAAAGTTTCCTATAAGGAATTAAAATATCTCCGCTACTATGTTTATTATACCCTAAGTACATATTGAAATCTTACCCAGTTCCTCGAAAAAGAAATGGTAAATTATTTTTCTTTGCTTGTCCAATAATTAATTCCGATGAAAGAAGATTATTTGGATTTGCAACAATTAATGTATGCTAGAAACAAAGTTTAGATTTCTTCTTTAAAATATTTTTATAAAGATTTCCTTTTTTTTTTTTTACTTGTCCATCATCATTAACATCAAAATTAAGATGATCAATAACAGAACTTTTATCATCAGCAAATTCAATACCACATTCACCAGCAAATTCACGAATAACATCACCTAGAATTTTTTTATTCATAATATATGAAAAGAAAAAAGTAATTAGAAATTTATTTACCAATTGTATTACTGCCTGCAATAAGAACATTTCCACCAGCATCAACAAATTGTGTTAAAATTTCAGCATCCAAACGTCCACCAAATTCTAAAAATAGAACATTTTTATCAAAGAAGAAAAAAAACAAAGAACAAAATTACCTTTCGTCGAAGGTGCAAAAATAATAATATGATCATAAACATATTCACCATATTTAACAATTTGAAGACTACTATCATCTGATGATTTAAATGTTACTTCAAATCCACGATCTACGAGTTAATTATTCAAAACAAAAAGAAAAAAGAAATATCATTATTAATTCTTTTTGAACAAAAAGAAAAAAGTGGAAGTCTTTATTTTAAATATAAGACAATCGTCAGATAAAGTATTAATTCCAATCATAGTTATTTCAGAATGTGAACAGCTATAGAGATGAAATTCATCATTTGATTGTCAGTATATATCAAACAATGGGTTTTTCTACTAGTCGACAAGGCACATCAAAGTATGTGAATGCTGCAATGTGGCAGATTTGAAATTCTTCATTCTTTATTATTTGATTTTTTTTTAATCAAGAAAAGCAACATCATTTTTAATACTTATTGATCTTATAGACACAAAAACGAATATGAGATATATCGAGCGCTATAAGAACTGTATTTAAAATGAACTAAAACACATCTAGTTTTTCTCCATATCTCTCTTTTTTTGTCATTTGAAATTTTTATCAAAAACAGCCTTGTGATATGTTGCCAATACAGATCGGCATCGCAATTGCAGTCGTGACCAAAAAAAAAAAAAAAAACGTTTTTCGCAACACATTTTCATAACAAGACTAGAAGAGTTAAACTTGTTGTTCAAAATTTCTTCCTCGTCAAAATGCTGTTTAGAACATGAGAATAGAATAATCTTCGATAGAGAAAAATGTTGTACATTGACCATGACCAATTCACTACATTTTTCTCTATCGGAAATTATTGTATCTTCAAGTTTCCAACGAGATTTTGAAAAGACCACAATTTTGAACAAAAGATTCAACTCAGAAGACTGTTTATTGGTCACGACTGTGACCGCAATGCAGATAACTAATTACCAATCCAGGTCCAAGAAAACGGTAATGACGGATTTCATCGAAAATTAATGCAAATAAGTCGCTGTTTTCGAAACGATCTCATGCAAAAATAAATTCATCATAATTCTCACCTTTTAATTGTTTAAAATAAAATGCATGTGATTCTCGTATACCCAAATTATCGAGTAATACTAATAAACGTTTTGATGAACCTTCTATATTTAATGTCGATGACCAAACACATGTAAATAGAAATAATCCAATAGAAAAAATGAATAAACGAAGCATGGCTAGAAATCTAGAAAAATGATATATAGATAATCAATATTAAATGTGAATCGTCAACAAAAAATCCATAGTTTATCGAAATATGTTACCATATTCGTCTCAACATTCAATTGTTCTATTGGATTTTCCAATCATAATTAACTAAAGATGTCACCTTTTTTTTGTGTATTTTATGATATTTCTTTTTTTTAAATGATAAGACAAGAGAAAAAAAAAGAACATATAGACGGTGAAGAGAAAAAAAATGTCTTATAATCCTTGGCTAAGATATGAAATTGTTTTGTAATGATTGTCTTTTTTAAAGATCGAAAACTTTTGGTAAATCATTTCCAAGGACATCAACACGTTCAACACCGTCTTTATTAATAATAGCTAAACGAGCACAACCACCACTTGAACCATCACGTGTTATAGCCAATGTTATACCTAAATAAAAATAATTAAACAAATAGAAGTTTTCGTTTTGTTTTTTTTTTTGATCAATAAACCTTTTAATACAAAGTCAAAACATTCTTGTTTTGTCATATTTGGTCGATAATTATTATCGAGATAACCCCAAATATATGTACTACCCGAACCACCGAGTGTAACTGGTTGTCGAACAAGTAAACCGCCAAGTGGACAAGAATAAACCTGAAAAATAATTGAAATGACAAAATTTGAATATTTTCATTTTTTTTGACTTCTATATAAAATTTACTTGTCCACCGAGTTTTTTATCCCATCCAGCAACAATCATACCAGCAACAAAATCATCACGATATTGATAAATTAAACGACGAACACAATTAGCAGCAATGCGTACAAGTGGTGGTTCATTCATTTCGGCTCTGAAATAAGATAAACATTTAAGGACATTCTCTTCAGAGAAAAAATAGAATTGATCATTATGAAAAATCTCAGTTTTCGAGATAGGCATATGGTCCTATAGATCAGACGCGTAGTTTTCATAATTAAAATAATTTGATGATCAATGTATTTATTTAGTTATGCTTTCTATCTTCTCCGAGAATATTAAGATTAGTATATTGTTAAGTCATGCTTCAGTTGTAGTCGTATCTAATGATAGGAACAAAACTTTCGCCATAAACTATAACCGTTAAAGGTCAACATCTATGCAAGCGATATTTCCTCAGCAAAAGTAAGAATTTCAAACTATGGACTCTATCGCATCCTTCATCAAAACGTCTTCTACTAAATCACAAAAGAATCAATTATTATTAATAAAAGTCCATATAGAATTCGCAATTGGATATGAATCTACTTAAACAAAAATCAATTTTCCTAAGGAAACAATCTATCGATTGTGTTGGAAACATCATTTTACAGAATGCTTCAAAAGTTATACCATTGACTTTTCAAACAAAGAATGTTGCCAAAAAAAAAAAAATCTTTTTTTTTCCTTCAAACTTACGAAAGAAAATCAAGTTGATATTGAACCACTTGAGCAATAGCTTGTGTATCTGCAGCACTACCAGATCGAAGACAAAATATTCGATCAGTTAAAGGTGTTAATTTATCTGTAAATCGATTCATAACAAATGTTCTATACAAAAACAAAAACTTATTCTTTATATAAAAATTTTCCTTGTTATTCATCTTACCCCGATGAAGTGCGTGTATCAGCACCAATAATTACTCCTCCATCATATTCAACAGCAACAATTGTTGTCTATAATTCATTTATTTCAATTAAATTTACAAAAAAAAAATAAAATAAAACCGTCTTACTCCAGTTGATACTGGTTGTTGTTGAAATTCCATTGGTATAAGATGTTTATCCATTTGACTATATTTTGTTCGTTCACGTAATCGATCTTCTTCAGCATCATATGTCATTGGATTAAGTATGTCCATGATGTAATTTAAATCTAGAATGAATATTTTTATTTGTACGAGACAATCTTTTAAATAAAAAAAAAAAAAAAAGAGAAAAAAACGTTTTCGTTTTTTTGTTTTGTATAAAGAAATAACAAGAAAAAAAGATTATTTAATTATATGTCATATAACGTGGTGTTGAACTAAATTTTGCATAAGCTTTGATAACCTTATTAATAGCTTCAATAAAATCTTTTTCAGTTGCTATTTTTCGTCGTGCACGAATAGCAAACATTCCAGCTTCTGTACAAACACTACGTAATTCAGCACCGGTACTATTTGGACATAATCGAGCTAATAATTCATAACGAATATCTTTTTCTACACTCATTGATTTCGTATGAATTTTAAATATATGTGTTCGACCCTAAAAGAAATACAAAAAAAACTATAGGCTTTCTACTATTCGAATAAAATAGATATTAAATTTACTTCTAAATCTGGTAGATTAAATTCAACTTTTCGATCAAGTCGACCAGGACGAACAAGTGCTGGATCAAGTGTATCAGGTCGATTTGTTGCCATTAGTACTTTAATATTTCCTCGTGGATCAAAACCATCTAATTGATTAATTAATTCAAGCATTGTACGTTGTACTTCATTATCACCACCAGCACCATCATCAAAACGTGCTCCACCAATAGCATCAACTTCATCAAAAAAAATTATACAAGCTTTTTTACCACGCGCCATTTCAAATAATTCACGAACCATGCGTGCACCCTATTTGATAACATACAAAAAAAAAAAAGATATTTTAGTTGAAATATATGTATGTGCATGTAAATTTAAATCAAACCTCGCCAACATATTTTTGAACAAGTTCAGAACCAATAACACGAATAAAACAAGCATCAGTTCTAAAAAAAAAAAGAACAGATTTATCGATATATAATTAACGAGTTATTGAAAACTATTTTGACCAAAATGTTTATTCATTTTTTCAGTCTATTAAAGAAGCTTGCAGAAATTTGAAAACATAGGGTCAGAATCAGAATTTTATGTTCTTTCCTACCAAGACTACTAGTTTAAGATTTATGAATCAACCTTTTCGAGACTCATAATATTGAGTTTAGACAAGCTTCAGCACGCCAAAAGTAATCCAAAATATAAGTAAAATTTTTTTCAAATACAGCGAATGAAAGAGCAAACATTTCTCGATAAGATGATATACTCATGATTGATTTACTCTCCAAGTCATTTGTCAATAGTGAGCGTTTTAGTAAGGTGTTCATTTGTATCGATCTCACTGGAAAAGAGACTTACAAAATGAGTTCGACCATTGCTGAACATCTTGATTTTTATATCACTTTGTAGAGCACAATCTCGCTTTTAATTCTATGCAAGAAAAGAAGATCGTTAATATTACATTCAAAAACAATATTAAATTTTGACTTAAATTCAATGTTTTTCAAATTTCTGCAGAAGCAATAAAACGAACGAATACTTTGTCAAATTTTCTTAGTATTCATTTTATTTCTTTTACCTATTAGCAACAGCTCTTGCACATAATGTTTTACCCGTACCCGGTGGTCCATATAATAGAACACCTTTAGGTGGTTCAATACCCAAATTAACAAATTTTTCCGGCTAAATAAAAAATTTTTATTATTTTATTTTCTTTTCCTTTCTTTTTGTTTTCTTACATGTAAAAGTGGAAGTTCAACAACTTCACGAAGTTTTTCAATTTGTTCTTTACATCCACCAACATCACTATATGTAACATCAGGTTTTTCTTCTACTTGCATCATTGTAACTGATGGATCAATTTTTGGTGGTAATGGTAAATGTATTTGATATTTATTTCGATCAACTCTGAGATAAATTATTTTAAAAAAAGAAAAAAAGCAAATATATGAAAATTTAAAATTCTGATTTTTCTTTTAATTTACCCAACACGCATTCCTTCTTCAATATCTGTTGGTGAAACAGTATCAGCAAGATCGACAACAAATTTAGCAAATTGTTTTACATTAATTATATATTTAGCATCATCACTTCCTTCATTGATGATTTTTGTACAACGTGCTACTTGTAATGGTTGTTCACCTAAAAGAAAATAAAACTAATTATGGAAAAAAAAAAAGAATCAATAATTTACTTTGAAGTGCTTGTTTATCAGCAGCTAAATCCCATAGTGCAGGTGGTGCAAGACCAGTATCGGATTCTTTAATACCAGCTAATTCATTTACTTGTTTTAATATTGTTTGTACATCTTCTTCTGTTTGTTTTATGGCTTTATCATATGGACCAGCTCCCTAAAAGAATTCATTTAAAATATTTTATTTTAATGAAACTATTGACTTACATAAGACTTCAGAAGTGCAATTTCTGCTTCATCAAGTGCTAAAATAATGATATTATTGTTATATTTTTTAATATAGATCCAGAAGAAAAACACATTATAATTTACCTTTGATAGGTTTATCTTCATCTTTATCATCTTTTTGTTTAGTTTTTCGTTGATCTTCACCTAGATAATCCGGCATTTGATTATTGTCTTTTTTTTTAACTCAGTAAATAAGTCTGTCCTATTGAAAGAAATGAATAAATGAATAGACGAACGAAATCAACTGTGTATTGATGAATCATTTAAAAAAAAAATCTTTTTCTTAATTTTATTTTTAAATTATATTCGAATTATTTTTATTTATTTTTTTTGTTTTTTTAAAAGAAAATATAATTTTTTTTTGATAAAGCAAAAAAACATATATATATATATATATATATTTATGAGTGACATCTGTATAAGTAGTGTTACTATGGAAATAAGAATTGCAAATGGTAATAATTATTAAAAAGTTATTTTCTGTTTATCAATTATAAAAGAGAATGGCATCGCGTGCTGAAAAAATAGATCGATTTCCAAATAAAATTATTATTAATATTTCTGAAATACAAAATCTTGTATGTATTTTATTAATTAGAAAAGAATAAATCAAATAATTTAATTTATTATTCGATTTATTTAATAGAAAAGTCCAAAAGCTGAACCATTAACTATATTCCTTCGTTTTGAATATAATGATGGACAATTTTCTGAATCAGGAAAATTTGATATTACTGATGGAAGTCCACGACAAGTCGATCATAATGCTGTATTAGGTGTTAATGCTTCAGATCCCGTACAAATTGATGATTTAGGACAAAAACCTGTTTTAAGTAAAAATAAAGAAAAAAAAAAATTTTTGACCTTATTTACAATCATATGAGATTTTTATTTAATTCTTATTTAGTTACATTATTTGAAGCTCAACCAAAAGATAAAAAACAAAAAGAAGATAAATCAACACCTATTGGACAAGCTACACTTGATCTTTGGCCATTACTTAAAAGTAAATTTATTTTATTGTTTTTATTGAAGATATTAATATGAATTTAATTTTAGATGAAACTCAAATTCCAGTTACTATACCAGTCTATGCTATTCCTGGATCATATCTTGAAACACAAGGAGAACAAAATCAGGTATTATTCAGAAAAACAGTTTATTCGTCTAATATTGCTTTGCTCAATATGATGAAGAAAATAGTTGATAGAGTATAGAAATTTTTATTTGTTTTTCTGATTATCATATTTGTAATCGATTTAATATTTCTCGATCGGATTTTGATCATAATGAAATCAACTAAGATAAACTTAAATTTGATTATTACTCTTCCAATTGTGTTCAAGGTCATTGTTCTGTATATAAAACTAATACACGCGATTTGTAAACAATAGACAATAGGTTGATTTTATTGATATTAGATATGAAAATCCATTTCATAGTGCATTATTAGTAATTAATGCGTTATCTTCCACTGATCACTAGAGTGAACTTTGATGAGCTATCAATTAATAAAAATGAATATTTTGTTTCATCACTCTGTCTTCAAAATATCGACCTTAGGGGAGTTTATAATTTTGAAAAAATTGAAATTTTTTAAACAAATTATTCTTAATTATTAACAAGTAGAGATCTTCGGGACTTGTTGTATGATATAGATTGATGAAGAAGCCTAGTAGTAATTAATATATTCTACGATATATTGACCAATTATAGACAATAAGCCAAAAGTGAACGGTGTTGCGATTATTGACCAGACAGAGGATAATCAAAAATAAAGTTCATCTATATATTGTAAACCTCATTTACATGAGAAATTGAAATAATATTTAATATAAATAAAATATCTTCAGTCATTATACAATTTCTCAAACAAAAACAGGTAATTACTTCACAACATGAGTTGTTTCAAAATTAGTTTTTATGTATTCATCCCTTCCTTTTTGTTTTTACTCCAATACCATGGAACATTAAGTGGATCTAATCACACTACTAGCATACTTGAAAGACTACTACTCTATTTATAAGAATATGATAGACTTCGAGAGCATCATAAAATTTCCTTATTATCTTCGCAGTCTATAGTACTTATCCATATATCATGGTAATTAATAATTTAATACCCAAGAACATTTGTTTTCTGTTTCTCGACAATGTTTCGTATCAATCTATTATATGATTAGTATTTTTCTTACAACCGTTTATTTATCTTTTTTTTTCTAAGCCATCTTTAAAAGTCAATGTTAGTATCGATCAACCACTTGTTCCTGTTCGTGATCAATCTAATACAAATGCAGCTTATATTACGTTAGAAGGTTTATATTCACCACCAGAAGCATGGTTAGCTGGTGGTACAACATTTGTTTATACAGCAACATTACCAATTCCAATTAATGATGATGTAAGTCATTTAATCAATACTTTTCTTTTTATTATTATTACAAAATTTTTCAATAGAAAGAAGTAACTGTTGTATTTACAAATGGTACACTTCGTGCAGCAACCGATGTAACAAATAAACAAAAACGTTGGCCAGATGCTCGTGGTATTCTTACTGTGAATGGTACTTATATATTAGGACAGTAAGTTAATAAAATAAAAAATAAAAAGATTTGAAATTTATAGTTACAAACAAAATCCTATTATAGAAATATAAATGAAGAATCAATTGATGATGAACAAGGTGAATTACGTAGTAAAGATGATAAAGAATTTCGAACAAATTCAGAAAAAACTAAACCACAAGTCGTATGGAATATTGAACGACGATGTTTTTTACTTCCATACGGAAGTCAAAGGTATTAGAAAAATTTCTGTGTATTGAATAAAATAAAAATTAATTTTTTACTATTCATAGTTTACAACATCAAATAACACGTGTACCTTATTTACCAGTTGAAATTGTTCGTACAGCTACTCCGACAGTACCTAAAGGAAAAAAGGTTAATTTTCAAAAAAAAAAAAAATTAACAATAAAAATTTTCAAATAAATAATTTTTAGGATGAGGACACTGGTATCAGTTATCATGGTGTTGCTTATATCGAAACTGCACCACTTCTTTATCCAGGCGGTAAGTCAAATATAAAGAATCATAAAATAAAATTTTCTTTTCTTTATATAGCAACAAGACTTCGAGGTGCCTATAAAATTGTACCATATAACGAAGTTGAATATAAATCTAAAGTAATGTTAAATAAAACAAAAGTTTAATTTTATTATGAGTATGTTTGTTTGTTTGTTTTTTGAATAGACAAAACGATCTGGTAATATAGTTGATGAAGCAATGAGAATAGCTAATCAATTATTTGATCGTTCATCTTTGAATACAAGTAAAAAAGATGCAAAATTAACAGTTGATAAACAAGCAGCTGCTGGTGCGGCAACTAGTATGGCAAAAAAAGTAATTAAATTTTTTCTTAATGAATATTTTTCGTCTTTTTTTTTTTTATTATTAAAATTCAATAAAAGAGAAAACTTTGAAAATCTTTTTTTTTCTTTTTGTTTAAAGAAAAAAAGATATTCTTCACAATCACCTAAAAATAAAAAAAATCGATTGAAAAAACGTCGAAATTTATCATTGGAAGAAAAATTTTTGAAGATAAAAACTTTACAAGTCCTTGCTAAATTACAAACTGTTTTTTTGCCTATAGTTTTTTTTTGTATTTATATTTACAAGAAATTTTCATTCATTGATCTCTTATTTATTTTTTTTTTTTTTAGAAAACAGAATTAGGTGAAGAATCATCTTCAGCAACAACAGAAGCTCAACAATATATTGAATCTAGTTCTTATATAACTATTGATATTGTTCTTGATCGACCTATAATTGAAAAACGAAAATTAAATGAATTATATCGAAAGTATGAAAATATTTGTTCAAAAATAAAACAAAAAAAAGAACCTACAAATTTATTTTTTTTTTTTGAAGAATTTCTGATCTTATACCACCACGTCCAAGTTATCCAATAAAAGTAAATAGTGCTGAAAAAGCTGTGGAAGATTATCAGCAACAAATTAAAAATGTTTGTAGTTTAATACTTGATGAATATCGGTTCGTAAATAAATTCTAAATTCAATTTTATTTTTATAATGTTTATCTTATATAGAAAAGTATGTGTCGATGACATAAATACAGAAGCAACACTTCCAAATGATCAAAAGTAAAAAAAAATTTTTTTTTTTTCTTTAAAGTTATCCTTTTCTTTTTTTTAGACGTCGTAAATTATTATATGAACTTAATTCAACTGGTAAATATTTTGCATTTAAAGAACAACTTAAGCATAGTGTGATAAAAATTGTTCGAGAAAAATTTCTTCGTACAAGTAAATTTGATAATCCTGATGAACTTCAAGTAAAGATTTCTTTCTTTTTTTGTTTTTTTTTTTATTAAATAAATTTTATTAATTTTAGACATTTATTAGTCAATTATATGTATTTCTTCTTGATGAAATGCATCGTTCATTAGATAAATCATTGAATATTCAAGAACCTGAATCAGTACCACCATCAAGAAATACTGATGCACAATTACGTATATTTGCACTAGAAGCAGAAAGTAATGGAGATTATCTATTAGCAGCTCATTATTATAAACAAGTAGATTAATAATATTGTACGAAAAATAAGAATTGAAAAATGTTTTTTTTTTTTATTTTTCTCTTTTAGCGTCTTGCACAAAATCCTGATAAACTTCGTCCATGGCTTGATTTTGCTGCTTTTCATTTACTTGTTAATGATTTAACTAAAGCTGAAGAATGTCTCAAAGAATGTATTGCAATTGAACCAACGAATAGTACTGTGTAAGAAAATGTTAAAAGTTTTTGAGAATAGAAAAATTATACATTCAAAATTGAATAAGAGATTACAATTTAAAGTCGACCAATATTTATTTTTGTTTAAGATTTATATTTTAATAGAGTAAATCGTGTTTCATATTTTTGTATTCTTGATACAAAAGATCAATATGATTAATTTCTATATTCAATTATATATAAATAATTTTCTTTTTTGTCTTTAGATCAATCTTATATGCTGTTCTCAATGCTATATTGGAAAATAATGAAATTGCTGATTTATTTTTTGAAACTGCTACAACTGAAGATAGTGAAAATGTTATTGCATGGACACTTTATGGTATGATAAAATTTTATTAAATTAAA